TCAGTAGTTGCCAAATGCCTAGGTTAGCCAAATACATCAATTTTAAATGGCAGGAATACTTAGCAGAAGGTAGACTATGCTAATGTGTTACTTTGAAAATTCTTTTTCTTTATTTTTAAGGGAATTGAAGTGGCTGGCACATGACAAATCTCAGGACTGTAAATGAAGCCATCTGTGTTAATGCTGTCTTCACAACTATTTTTGGCATAGAAAGGGAGAGAAATTTTGCCTTACTGCGGGCATGTTTCACACTGAATTTTAGTACATACACCTTGCTCATAAACTGGATATTTCATAGTGTTGTCCTCTGTGTCCATGCCGTTAGGCTTCAGGAAAACACACTCTTCTGTAAAATACATCTTTGTCAAAGTGATTCCTTCATCTCCATTTATAGGTTTCACCAACCTTTATAAGCATTAGGCTACTCGGTCCCTATAAGTGGGTTTCCACAGCTGCCAGAAATGTAAGAGGACTTGGCAAAGAACTTACATAGTCATGAATCTGACTGACTGGTATCATTTTAACAAGAAAACATTAAGGACTGTTATGACCTACAAATTTTCAATATTACTGAAAAACCCTATAAATTACAAATTGTGTGTATGCTGAGCAGTGGGGGTATGAAATAAAATTAATCACCTAGGAATGTTTTGTGTGTGTGTGTGTGTGAGAGAGAGAGAGAGAGAGAGAGAGAGAATTCTGAAATGTCATAATGAATGGAAGATTTGTGTTTGGTGAGTTCTTTGTGCTGGGAATGGGTGGTTTATAGATTGGCTTATCTTCCCTACCATTCTGCCAGTGTTGCCTTTTTATTTTATTTTTTTTATTGTGTCATATTGTGGTAGGCATCCAAAGGCCCTTGAGAACCTTACTCACAATAATACTGGTTCATACTACATCTGAGAGAGCCTCTTGAGGTTATTCTATCTCATGTAAATCACTGGACCACCACTGTTTTCCATTGATTTGATTTGTAATACTGTAATAGCTTACTGCTTGATTGTTACGTCCAGGAAGACATTCTAGAAGCCAAGGGAAATGATTATGATGAAGAACTAAGGAAAAGTAAATAAAAACATTTTATATTCCATTTATAAATACACTTCACAGTGCTTCTTTCTCAAATTGCCATCCTAGACTTCATAGTCAACTTTAACTGCGATGATTTGTGCTTGTGTAAGACTTCTAATTCTGTTGCCTTACCCTTTATACACTGACACAAGAGGAATTTGCTGCTTTTTTATAAATAAATTGGGGCCAAAGAGTAAATTCACCCTTTTTTTTATATTCATGCCGGCTCAGCTTTAGGGGATTTGAGTGATGTAAGTGTATTGTACTGGGCCCCACAACTAGTACAACAGAAAAAATAATCTTCAAAGTGAATATTTTAGTGCTTCATGCAAAGCACACTGCTCAATGTCTGGGGAAAAAAATAAAGCTGCTCTTACATTTGTGAACCACAGTCCATTGTTGTACATGTTTTCTAAGCTCCAATATAAATCTTAAATGTATAACAAGAAGACAGTACTGACGCCCACACCCTTGAAAAAAATGAAGTCTTATTCCTGATTATAATGAGCATGTTGTATCTGTTCATGGGATTAAATCCTTGAAAGAAAGGAAGGTACATAAAATCAGATTTCTAAAGGTTAAGTAGAGTTCATTGCATTTATTTCATAATATTTCAGTATGAAACTCTAGTCTTCAAGGAAGTAGATGCATGAAAACCAATTAGGAAGTTCTCTAATAGCATAAAGTCTGACACCTCCTTTTAAATTTAGTTTTATCATCACATTATTGGGTAGACAATGAGTTCCATTGTCTCTTGTCAATTATCAGTGGGGATATGTTTGAATAGGCTGTATGTTTGTTTTTACTTCTTATCTGGAATTGATGCTAAGGCTTCAGATGGACAGGAGGAGTAAATTGTCTCCCAGGATTCAGTCACCTAGGGTAGGGGCCCTTGGGGAGGATTAGAAAGACATTGAGGTTCCCCTCACAATGTTTCCTCTAAATTAGTTCTCCTAAGCAGCACCTTACTGGTGGCATTTTGCTAGGATCTCTCCAGTTTGTCTGCTTTCGTTACCTCACTTTAAGGAGGTTCTACAATGCACAGGGACCCAGCAGAAAATTAATTCAACCTATGCTGTATTAATTTTCCTGTAGAATCCCAATGGGGCTGGAAGAGGGGGGAATGATGCATGTTCTTCTTATCTCTGCTTTGAGCCTTCTCCTTCCCCAATTTCTACATGCAGATGCCACCCCCCCCCCCAGTGCATGGATTTCAGGGGGATGAAGATATGAAGGTAAAGTATCTGGCTCAATGCATGACTCAACTGTCATGTGTCATGTGATAGTGGAAGAGTATTCTTGGCAATTGAGCCACACTCCGTACATAATTTGCCTGTGTTTTTGTATTTGTAAACTGTATGAAATATCATTAAATCCATAGCTCCTGACTATCATATGGTATGGTACAAATTAAAACTTAGATGTTCCCTCTGCACATTGAATCTAGAGATAAAATCATATGTTGGTTTTGTGCCACTTATCTGTGTATAATCTTTTGAAAGGGAGAATGGTTTGGCAGTTCAAGCATAGAACTAGGAGTCAGGAGTTCCGAGGTCTGTTCCTGGCGCAATCACTGACTGGCTGCGTCATTGGACGAGTCGCCTAAACTTGCCGTGCCTAGGTTTCCTATCAGAAAAATGATGCTCCCTACCTTCCTCACAGCACTATTTTGAGAGTAACCCAATAATGGTTGTAAAGCATTTTGAGAATCTTAGGTAGAAGCTACCATAGAATTTCAAAATGTTATGAATCATCATTATTTTTCTATTTAAAGTGTGAAACATGACAAAAAGAAAGGAACTGCCATTAAGTATATGTCAATCTAAAGAACTTTGTCTTCTTGGATTTAATGAAACGTGAAAAGTGTGCTAGTGTAAAAGAATATGGGGAGACCTAAATTGTTCAGACAAGATCATAGGGAATGCAAAGGAGGGTGAGCCAACTTAATATGTACATAGTTTTAAAAGTAACCGAGAAGCAACATTTAATTTCATAGGTTAAAATAAGGGACTGTTACAGAAATAAAACAATGTTTTGTATAAAGAAAAAGCAGCTGGTACTAGTTGTTTGTGAAAAGAACAAGCTACTGGTATGTAAGTGGGTTGGAAATGTGGTACATTAAATTCATGTAGAGGATTGCATCTTTACGCAGTCCATAAAAGGAAACTAGAAAATGGAAATGTTTTGGCATTGAGCATAAAGAATGTTTGCCTAAGGGTTATATATACCAGCTAACAATATTACGGCGAGAGCATAAAAAGGCTAAGGTGGTTGACAAAGAAAAATGGCAGAACTGTTTTCACCAGGAGATTTCCAATGTATTACGTGAGAAAATCTAACGAAGTATCATAATTAAAATTAGCATGTAAGTCTCTTTGTTGTGCCCAGTTCCTTTTTTACATGGAGGGGAGAAAAAATAGGTATGCTCTATATAAGAGAATTCCCGGTCTCCTTACATCTGAGTTGTCCTACAGTAATACAGGTCAGCAGAAATATAGGGTATTTTTTCAAATATATTTTTGTTGTTACATGACCATTTAGTTTTCTGTGTGTATTTAGCCATAACCTACAACAGTTATTTGATCTTTCTGAGGATAGAATCCTCTCCTGATCCCCCAACTTGTGAAGATTTAAGATGCTTTCTTTGTCAAAGTTTGTTATGAAAGCAATAGAAACGGGTGGGAATGCAACAACTTCCAGCATATCGGAGTTGGCAGCTCCCAGACCTTTATTAAAAGATTGCTTGTTGATATATAGCGAGCTCAGTGCTGGCAGGGTGATGGGATAGATAACTGTTGGTCTTTTTCATCTCTAACGTGTCTGATTTTGATGGCAATCATTTCAGTCAAGAAATGGGATATTCACCATAAGGGGCTATCCCTGCGTATAAAATGAAAATGTGACCAGAACCACCTAGTAGATCCAGGCCTTCTTTTAACTATTTTTCTGTTGCCATTTATGCCACCATGCCATGCCTCTCTATACTAAAAGGTGTTTCTATGATCTGGCCATTGATATTAAAAATGTAATATCCTTAAACATTTCCTATTAACTTATTTTTCTTCCTTTCAAAAGTTTGCATCAAAATGTTTAAAAATTATTTACGAATTAGGACAGTGATATGTCAGTACAGTGGCAGATGCCTATGATTTTTTGCTTATGTATATATTTTCATATGTATATCGTGATAGTTTTGTTACATCTTGATAATTTGTAAATATTTTAAAAATAACAATGCAAATATGTGTACAGGCTCCTAAAAATAGTAGTTCATTCTTTGATATATTAAGATACAGTGCCTTGGGATAATAAGACTTGGAAATTTAACTCATGTCACTTCTGTAAAGGCTGAATACTATGACTCATGTCATAGTATTAAGGGTTTTCACTAGATTTGACTATGCAGGTACCATATGCCTCATGTTTTCAACACTTAATATTTTGATATATGCCAGGCAGTTGAATAATCCTGTCTCCCCCTTGGCAGAGATGGTACAGGGGACATGATCTTGGTCAGTTAATGGAACAATATAGTCTTACTGCAAAGCCTTTTTTTTTCATTTAAATATCAGTGGAAGATACATTATAGTTATTGAAGGAAAGATTAAAGAAAAACTTTATATGTGGCACAATAAAGCTGTATCATTTAAGCTGTTGTATCTTAGTTGAAGGCGGTGTTGCTTTCATGATATCCGTATAGGCTTGCTAAATCCAATAAGAGAAAGTGAAAATCATGCTAGACTTCTTACCCAGGTTACTGTTCTGTTCTTCAAAGTATTACTAAGGAAAGTTTTTGGCATAAGCTGGGACAGAAAATTGAAACCTGAATACGATTTTAAACTGATAGGGTTAAAGGCCTTTCTTTTACACCAGCACACTTGTTCTTTTATTTGATACTTGAACTCTGAAAATGTTCTGTGACTTTCTAGGGAGAAGGAGGAGCAGCTGACTCGGGTGACAGAGGTACAGAGGCTGCAGGCCCAGCAGGCAGATGCTGCCCTGGAGGAGTTTAAGCGGCAGGTGGAGCTGAACTCAGAAAAAGTCTATGCTGAAGTGAAACAGCAGGTGAGAAGGTCACAATGCCAGCCTTTCTGAAACGCTGTCTCAGTAGGATAGCATATTCTGATCTTCTAATGCCAGAAACATGTTTCACTTGATAGTGCTACATCAAAATCTTTCACAATGTAGTGACTTTGCTAGCAAGTCAGAGGGGGCTGTTAGCAGTTGATTCATCTTTATAAGAAAGCCAGAATTGTCATTGTTACACAGCTATCTACAGTTGTATTACTGATTAGAGCTTTTCCAGGATTCAGAGTAAAATGTGTTAGTTTATATACTTTTATGGAACAAGTACCAGAGGGGTAGCCGTGTTAGTCTGAATCTGTAAAAAGCAACAGAGGGTCCTGTGGCACCTTTAAGACTAACAGAAATAGTTAGGACCCTCTGTTGCTTTTTATGGAACAGTGTCTATACTTTCCCACTTTTTCAACTTTGTCTCTCTGGCTATTCTTTTAAGGACATGTCATTCTCCTATTAATGGGAATTTTGCAATAGTTTCAATGAGAACAGAGCCAGGCTCATTCTAATGGTGCCCACTGATGAGCAGATGACAACAAAAGCCTTTTTCCCACTTGAAAATTACTATTAACGATCATTTATTTACATACTACTTCGTGTGATAGTCATTTTACAGAACAAACTAGATTAATGTATTGGCCCGAAGGAGCTTAGAGATATCACACGAGTGAGAATAATGAACAGTAGAGTGGGAAGGGATGAGAAATAAAGGGAGATGCAGGTACATGGAGTGGCCTACTCATGTCATAAAAATGCTTATGGTATCTCAGTCTAGTGAATTGACCTGATTCATTCTGCCTTGCCAACTTGCCTCTTTAATGGGAAAATCCAGTTGTTTCTTATTACAGGATGATGTAGCATGAGACTTGCAATGGATTTAAGGGGCAACTGGTGGTAAAGCACCTTGGTGAACACTTCTATAAAATAGAGATTGTTTCAGTTCTGAGGCTTTCCTCTTGCATTGGAGAGCAATAGAAATAGTGGAAGATGTGATCTTGTTGCAGTTGCCACTTCTAGCCATCAATAGATCTCTGTAAAATATTATTTGTACTTCAGAATTGTTTGGGATGAAAGGAGCTATATGAATGTATGATACTATAAGAATCAACATTTTACAACTTCTTAAAGGGATCGCTTCTGCATAATCCATGTACAGCATAGAGAGAGTCTTATGTGATAAGATTTTTTTGTTTACTGTTTTGTTTCAGTATGAAATTGATTTGGTAAAATGATGGAAAAAGAGTAAAAATGATATAAATATTTACCGGTAACTGAAATGAAATATAGCATAAACATAATTGAGATAAATACTATACAGATATATACGTCTTATTCAGAAATCATTAACTTTTTAATTCATATTAGTGGTGTAATACGAACCAAATATTGGTGAGAAACAAAGCAGTAGTGCTAGAAATTTGATTGCTTATTTTGTTGAAAAGAATGAAAACCTTTCAACTTTGCATGCAGTCTATATTTTTAACAATTGTTTTTGTTGTTGTGAAATGCTGGTTTTGCTTCTTTCAAAATCTTCAGTATAAAAGCAGCAGAGCTGTAAGGCATCTTCTGTTTTAAAAGTCTTGTACGGAGAGCAGATAATGGAATTTTGAAATAAAAAAGCGGAGTCTGTTTTGAAAAGGCAACTTTTATTTTGCAAACTAGACCCATCAGGGTAATAAAACAGGCCCTAAAATTTCAAAGTCACTGTCCTACATTTTTCTCTAATCTGAATCTCTCCTTTTTTACTTAAATTACTACATTTTACTTCTGCTCCAAGTGAGAAATATATTTTAATTCTTATTGAAGATATGGTTTCATTGAGCCAGAAAGATTGGGGTCATGATTTAATTATTTTCAAGAAAAAGTTTGCGCAAAATAATCCTGAAAATACATTCATCATGAAATGTGTGTTTTTTTTTAAATTTCCTTAAAAAGGAAACAAAAATCTGAAATGCTCCAGGAAATTTAAAAATACATTTCATTGAATTCCATAAAACTGCTATGTATTTTTTTCATTTTCTATGTGCTGAATACCATTCCATTTGTATGTTAAATACAGAGAGAGAAAATGTATTTAAGATAACAAAACTGTTCTTTCTTTCGGCTTCATTCACTGATGCCTCAGTCCAGGTTCGTGATACCTTCAGCTTCATCCAAAGTATTGTTGTGAAGGCCAAGATTATAACAGGGTTCAAAAAAGAACTAGATAAATTCATGGAGGATAGGTCCATCATTGGTTATTAGGATTGGCAGAGATGCAAAACCATGCCTTGAAGTGTCCCTAGCCTTTGTTTGCCAGAAGCTGGGAATGGGTGACAGGGGATGGATCACTTGATGATTACCTGTTCTGGTCGTTCCCTCTGACGCACCTGGAACTGGCCACTGTGAAGATAGGACAGTGGGCTGGATAGACCATTGGTCTGACCCAGTATGGCCGTTCTTATATTCTTATTGAATTGTGGTGAGAGACTGCCTTATGACAATGTCAAGCAGTGGTTTGTGTGGTCTTACTGAATGGAAATGGTGGATAGTGCTCAATAATTGACTGTTTTTGTTCATAAACAAATATCATGGTGTGAAACAATGGCGGAGAAAGAAATATAGAAGCTATCTAAGACAGTAAAATATTTGTGATTTATTTTAATTCACCAAAGAGATAAAATGTTAATGGCCAAATTGTCAAAGGCGCTTTCTGAATGGCACTGCAAAACCCTACATTCATGTAGGCAAATAGTCCCACCTGCATGCATTTACCCTCTATTTTCTGCAGTTGCTAGTTTTAAAATGAGTAGTTTAGGATGCTTCATTGAAAATTTGACTGAATATCCTCTTTGCTATAGCAGGCTGCCCTAGTTATTATCATCATTGTGATCTTCTCTTTCTTTTTATTTGTATTACGGTTTCGCCCAGAGAGCTGAAAGAGAATTGGGGCTCTCTGTATTAGGAGTTGAATAAATAGATAGGAAAACCATGCCTTGTCCTGAGGAGCTTACAGTTTGGGGCATGCAGATAATGGCTTCTGTTCAGTATTGAACTGATTTTCTTGGCAAAGAAAGAACAACTCAAAGACCAAATCCTCTTAATTCCCTGCCTTAGATAACTGCATTTGACGTATAGCTTAGGAAGTGTCATTAGTCTAGTGCTAGCTACTGCTGTTTCACTGTAATAATGCTGTCAGTGTAGACCTATTCTGGAGGAAGTTCTCCTCACCTGAGACAGACTCACCACAAGATGGAACTTTGGGGATAGAGTGAGAAAAAAATGGAAGAATTCCTTGTCTGTGGTACATAAAACCACCACCACCTAAGGCAGTGGTTCTCAAACTTTTGTGCTGGTGACCCCTTTCACATAGCAAGCCTCCGAGTGCAACCCCCCCCCTATAAAATAGAAACACTTTTTATATATTTAACACCATTATAAATGTTGGAGGCTAAGCGGGGTTTGGGGTGGAGGCTGACAGCTTAGACCCTCCATGTAATAACTTTGCGACCCCCTGAGGGGTCCTGACCCCCAGTTTGAGAACCCCTGACCTAAGGCATTATCCACCTGATGTGTAAGACATTAGCAAGGTTGTTAAATTACATAATGATGAGAGAAATCCATCACAAGTGAGGAACTGCAAAACAAATGCTTACACTACATTCTTTATTTGGCTCATCGTTGTGCTTTGTTATTACAGGAGTTCCAGTGCAGTATGAGATGTGATTTACTATGTGCTGTTGTACTTAGGCCTGGGAAAATGAGTTAAGCAATAGTTAGCCATAATTTTTAATCTTCATGCTCTTATTGGTTTGTATCAGTCTTTGTTTAATTTTTGTGTGTTTTGCATACTGACTTGGATTGTTGTTTCCATCATTGGGATATTATATTTTAGTTTCATAAACACTCAACACGCTAAGGTTAAGCAATGAAAAATTGTAATAGTGAAACACTGCGTAAAATGATACGCTAATTTAAAGAAATTTGTTCATAGCTGAGAATTTCTTTTTTTAACATAAGAATGGCCACACTGGGTCAGATCAAAGGTCCATCTAGCCCAGTATCCTGTCTTCTGACAGCGGCCAATGCCAGGTGCCCCAGAGGGAATGAACAAAACAGGTAATCATCAAGTGATCCATCCCCTGTCGCCCATTCCCAGCTTCTGGTAAACGGAGGCTAGGGACACCATCCCTGCCCATCCTGGCTAATAGCCATTGATGGACCTATCCTTCATGAATTTATCTAATTCTTTTTTGAACTAGATATGCAGTAGATGTTCACATTTTTATTGTTTGAACTAACCAACTGTTAAACATTTTGTCTGTATGTATATTTCAGATATTATTGATTTAAGGCAGAATTCTGACTAGTTTTACGGCATGAGTAGTCTGTGACTTCAGTAAGTAGTAAGGTACTATTCAATGAATAAGAGCATCAGAATATGGTCCTTAATGTTAAAACTTAAACGTACTGAGGCAAATTATGCACTCAGTAAAACCAATGTAAATTTGGACTGACTCCCTCGAAACTAGACTGTAGGAACCATTTGGGGCAAACAGGGTGGGCGAAGAGGGAGGTTGTGCTACCCACCTTTTACTCCCATTGATTTTGTGAGAGCTGTAGGTTATTAACACCTATTGATATCAGGCCCACAACGAACAAATAGATACATTAAGAGCTGATAAGTATTACCTTACATGGAGGTAGTCCTATTGTTTTTGACTATTATAAAATTTTTGTATTATGCAAATTATTTGATATATGAGAGCTGTGCTGTGCTTGTCTGAGTAAATGTCTATGTAGTGATTTAGGAGAAGATTTTTGATAGAGGATTTTTTTTTTTTTTAGAATTTACACTGTTGTTAATATAACAGGCATTCCATTAATGTGTGGTCTAACCTTATTTTGCTCACAGTACAACTGAAAGACTTCTCCATCTGGACATCATTTATTAACACTTGATCCATATGATTGTTGTGGTAAAACTTGACATTTTTTGGGAGAATCAGCACTTTGGCAACTCTTTGATTGAAGCAAATTTCCAGCCATCTAACTAGCTCCCTCCCTGCCCCCAATGCTGCCCATTTGATTTTGAAATGCTTAATTAGGCACAGTAGAATGTCTGTTTATTTCTTGTACTTTATTGGAAAGAATTAGATTGATAATACAATTTTGCCTTGAAATACCTTGACAATTTCTGGTTTAATGCTGAAATTTTCAGTGCTTTTTTTAAATTGATGATTGTGGGGGGAAAAATATCCCTAACACAAGTGCCCATTTACCATTGGTGATTTGTCTGTGAAGGACTGAAATGAATTGAAGTGAAAGTAGCAAAGTATATGGGCATATTTCAAAGGATCATGTCATTACTTAGAAAGTAGTCTCTAATGGCAGAAAAAATCAGAATATTTTTGAGAGTTTTGGTGGAGAGCATTAAATGGATGTTGCATCTACTAAGAATTATCTTCTTTGGATTTACTGTTTAATGAGAGCTTCATCGTGCCAAGCCTTTTGTGACCATATAGAGGAGTAGAAGCAAGTAAGAATCCCCTTTCCCTTGCATGGCCACTTAAGGTCTGCCTGTATTGCAACTCTGGTGCTAGGGGGGAGAACAAAGGGCTGTGTGCCAAATGCTTCCCTTCAGAGCAGAGAGGGAACAGGCAATAGATTTCTCCTAGATTTCTCAGCCAGTGGATCTGACTGGCCACTTGGAGAGGATTATGGTGCACCCCACAAAGGGGTGTCACAAATTACTCTCCAGTCTCTTGCGCAACCCCTGGCAGCAAGCCTCCCACCCCAGGTCGACAGACTTGGCTTACGGAGTTTGAGCTACCTCTTTAAAAATAGCTATGTAGATGGCACTTTGAAGTTGCATCTTGGGCTGGAACTTGGGCTTTGTAGACTACCCCCTTCCTTAGGCTTCAGAGCCAGCACGGTCTACACAGCTATTTGTAGTGCGGTAGTGTGATCCTGAGTCTGTCAACCCTGGCTGGGAGGCTTGCTGCTGCTGTCTGGTATCTCGAAACACAGTGCCTCCTCTTATTCTGAGGTGCTCAAGTAGCCCAGTTAGTTTACCCCTGGGTTTCTAACATAGCGCTGTGGGATTAATTATACCAAAAATACTCAAGTTGACTAATTCTTTTGCTTTCAGTGGGGCACCTTTCAGAGTAAGGTACTGTACTACCCAATGTGACAAGTGTGGCAGAATTGGGCCCTATATGTTCATCCTAAACGTAAATGGAAAACTCAGATGTCAATTGTGCATGCCTTCTTGACAGAGCAAATCAGTTTATGCTTTGCCTTTATTAAGCATATAGCACAATTTTCTGTATTAACGAGTATTTCAAGGCTATTGTTTTTCAGCTAAGACATGTCAAACCATGTTGTAAATGTTGATAGCATGTGGCAGTCATGCCTTCTAAACTTCTAAGTTATCAAGCAGTTCAGAATATAGGGATTGTTCCTGAGCGGTACTGAACTCTTCAAACTCTCATTGACTTCAGTGAGGCTTTCAGGTTATGAACCTCTTGGGGTCAAGTTCATAAAGAGCAAATGATAATGTAAGAGATTGTAGGAAACTATGCTACAGTGACTAAGCTTCAAGTAGTACTTCAGAGAAACAATACTGAAGCTCTCTTTTCACCCGTCCTTTCTCATTTCCCCTCCACACATGCACCCAATTCTCAAATAAGCTACATATGTTCTTCCAAAGACAAAGTGATATAATATTGGAGCAAATGCCATTGCTTTCTCCTAGTTGGATAGAGCATAGAATGACCTACTGACATCATAAAATGGAATCTTTAGTAACTATAGTAACACTGGACTCTGAACTGCACTGCAAATATTAAACTTCTGAAATCCTCTTTTCATTGTAATGTTAATTAAGGAAGTAACAAATGGAGTGGGGTCTGGCATTATCAGTTAGTATCATTGATATTTGCTTTATTTATTCATGTAATTTATGACTTTGAGATATCACTTGCCATCTGCTTCTTATTTTTCGATAAGCTCATGGTTATTAAGTCATCTGATGTCCATTAGATGGGTGACTGAAACAATTTCAACTTTAAGCTCAGTTTTGTTTTTTCCTGATCTAGGTGGCTGTCCTGTGACAAAACTTCATGTATTGGTGTTTATGTGGGTATGAATATAACTGATGTTTTCATACATGCTGCTTTGAGCATTAGCCAGTTGATTTTAATAGCATACACTGCATGCTGCATCAAAGACAAAGGGAGAAAAATCAGACTGGTTTATAGAAGTTTAGATTAAAAGCACTGTATACACATCACTCTCAAAAAGAAAAGTATTTACAAAGCCAAATAGTAACTGCCAAAAAATGAATAAACAGAATATGTGACAATATTTTGGCTCTAGTATTTGTTGGGATTGGCAAATGAGAATCAGAAAACCTCATTGCACTTTATGGCCAATATGCATGCTCTGTGCTAGAGATTAAATAACAGAAACATATTGTTTTATTTGTAGAGTTTATATAATATATTACTTTATTTGTATACATTTTCTGTGTCAATTTTTAGAACATTTTCATTATTAAAAAGATTCTTTTAATATTTTGGACTTTATTTTGCTTTAGTTTTTCATTTTTGTAAAGTGTAGTTGGGGGAAAAACTAAGGGGCCTCCCTTTCTTTGATGTATGAGATGGGGAAATAAAGGGCTACAAGGATGGGTCTAAACTGGATTGAGAGGAGAGAGAAGGTGATGATAGCAACGGAGGTCCTTCTTTTAAGGGCTTACTCGGGGGGGGGGGGGGGGGAGACAAGGAAGAGAGGCATTGCTGTTTGTGCTCCGCCTGCAGTTCGTCCCCTTCCTATATCTGGGAAAACAATTCCTGGCCATGCATCTTTCCCTTTACTTGAGATAACTTTTAATTAAAATGGCTTCCCCACTGTTAGTGATCACTTTCCTCCTCCTTATCTGGCTTAGAAGTGGCATTTGAGCCCATTGGCAAATACATCTATGGGCACTCCTTTAGGGCAAATAGGAATTTTAGCTTGGGGTACAGAAATTCATCGTTTTTCTTCTTCTGGTATGGCCGATGGACTTGCAGCAGAAAGTGGATTCCTTATAGCTATATTCCCCTTCCCTCTTCTGCCCACTTTAGGGAGGTACTGCTACTTAGGTTGGGAACTAGATCTAAAAGGAATTGGTGGGTAAGAAGTGAGGTGTCGTATTGTATGTACATAAACCCTTGGAAATGTGACACAGAACTGATAGTTGTGCTTTTGATACAAAAGCCTTTGTTAACTAAGTTATGAAATTGCTTCCTTGATACCATGTAGGGGAATCTGTGTGACTCATTATTCATACGCAATGACTGTTTTCGGAGAACCTGCTGCCAAATAATTCTCCTTTAAGGTTCTTTACTGATTTTAAGATAAATTTATTTTAAATGTATAGATTGTGCATCCAACTCAGAGCATTACTTCCACTAAATTTCAACAAGCAGTATATTTTTAAAAAAAATATTTTTAGTCATGTATAAATAATATTCAGTTGATTTTTGTGGGATGTTACAACTATTGAATGAAAAATAAGACCTTGCATGCTAATCAGAAACAGGTGATATAGGTGATATATTTGTGTAACTAACTAATGATCCTCAATATACTGATATGTTCATTTCCTTACAAATGGGGATTTTTTTATTGACTTTTATCTTCAGGCCTTTGATTAGCCATCATCTATCAAAAATGTGTCAAAATGTGTTTGAAGCTATACATTTAAAAACTAAATATTCCCTTTGTTTACCTTGTAGATGGAAAAGGTGGAATCAGATCTAAGCAGATCAAAATCTCTCCGTGAAAAGCAGTCAAAAGAATTCTCTTGGCAGTTGGAAGAACTCAAACAAAGATATGAGCAACAGGTCAGTCTGCCATTTTTATTTGGTCAGACAAGGTGGGTGAGGTAATATTTTTTATTGGACCAACAAAAGTTAGTCCAGTAAAAGATATTATCTCACCCACTTTGTCTCTCCAATATCCTGGGACCAACGCAGCTACATTTTTATTTGGTGGTATTTGTCTTTTCAGTGTAGTCAGTGTAGTCCGTTCCAGCATCCAGTCTAGTCTTGGTCTGACTCGCTCATTATGTTGGCATTCTTTCCTTTCTGTCAAAGCTGGCTACTCTGTTTGCAAAGCCATGCATTAAATACAAAAGCTCCTTGTTTTCTCTACATCTACTTTGCTATCTCTGGGCACTGACTATTTCCTAAAGGATTCCCAGCCCTACAAAAATAAAAAATGCATTTATAAAAAATAAAATGGCTTGACTGCCCCTGTCTATTTTTTTCTCTTATTCAAAAATTAGATAATTTAGTTTTAGTCTATTCTGCTTTTTAATATTTTAATTCATTTTTTGGCACAAACTATGTTTTTAGAAAAGATTCTTATTTAAGTGGTTTTGATAGATTATCATTTTAAAGATGTAATAAGCTTTTTCAGTGCTTAATTTTGATAGGCAGTTACAGTAGCTCTCTGGCTTGCAGGATGCAATAGCTTGCTTCTGCTTATTGTAGGAAGCTTCTTATATTTCTGTTCCTTTCCCTTTCACAACTACTATGGCTCTTCAGTAACACTTTTTGGGGGCTGAAAGGATGAAGCCATCTTATGGGCTGCAGCAGCATTATTATCTTCTAAATAAAGGACTTCTTTCTGATTTATAGCAATGATATGATAGCTCCATAAGCTGCATGTAATCCATTATCTAGATTTTTGGGCCAATACAAGTTTGTATTTCCGTGAGGGAAACCTAGATTCAGTTCCCTGCCCAGAATTGTGTCTCCAGGCTAGCATGAGCAGGAAGTATTGCAGAGGGAACACATTCAGCCCTCGGAAGTATGGGAAGAGACCACCCTGGCTTAACCAGGAGATCTTCAATGATCTAAAAATCAAAAAAGAGTCCTACAAAAAGTGGAAACTAGGTCAAATTACAAAGGTTGAATATAAAGAACTAACACAAGTATGTAGGGACAAAATTGGAAAGGCCAAGGCACAAAACAAGATCAAACTAGCTAGAGACATAAAGGGTAACAAGAAAACATTTTACAAGTACATTAGAAGCAAGAGGAAGACCAAGGACAGGGTAGGCCCGTTACTCAATGGGGGGGTGGGAAATAATAACAGAAAATGTGGAAACAGCAGAGGTGCTTAATGACCTCTTTGTTTCGGTTTTCACCAAGAAGTTTGGTGGTGATCGGACGTCTAACATAGTGAATACCAGTGAAAATGAGGTGGGATCAGAAGAGGCTAAAATAGGGAAAGAACAAGTTAAAAATTACTTAGACAAATTAGATGTCTTCAAGTCACCAGGGCCTCATGAAATGCATCCTAGAATACTCAAGGAGCTGACTGAGGAGATATCTGAGCCATTAGCGATTATCTTTGAAAAGTCATGGAAGACTGGAGAGATTCCAGATGACTGGAAAAGGGCAAATATAGTGCCAATCTATAAGAAGGGAAATAAGCACAACCCGGGGAATTACAGACCAGTCAGCTTAACTTCTGTACCTAGAAAGATAATGGAGCAAATAATTTAGCAATCAACTTGCAAACATCTAGAAGATAATAAGGTGATAAGTGACAGCACAGATTTGTCAAAAACAAATAGTGTCAAACCAACTTGATAGCTTTCATTGATAGGGATAACCTAACCTTGTGGATAGGCGGGAAGCGGTAGACGTGGTATATCATGACTTTAGTAAAGCTTTTGATAGTGTCTTGCATGACCTTCTTATAAACAAACTAAGGAAATGCAACCTAGATGGAGCTACTATACGGTGGGTGCAAAACTGGTTGGAAAACCGTTCCCAGAAAGTAGTTATCAGTGGTTCACAGTCATGCTGGAAGGACATAACGAGTGGGGTCCCGCAGGGATCAGTTCTGGGTCCAGTTCTGTTCAATATCTTCATCAATAATTTAGATAATGGCATAGAGAGTACACTTATAAAGTTTGCAGACGATACCAAGCTGGGAGGGGTTGCAAGTGCTTTGGAAGATAGGATTAAAATTCAAAATGATCTGGACAAACTGGAGAAATGGTCTGAAGTAAATAGGATGACATTCAGTAAGGACACATGCAAAATACTCCACATAGGAAGGAACAATCAGTTGCACCCATACAAAATGGGAAATGACTGCCTAGGAAGGAGTACTCCAGAAAGGGATCTGGGGGTCATAGTGGACCACAAGCTAAATATGAGTCAACAATGTAACGCTGTTGCAAAGAAAGCGAACATCCTTCTGGGATGTATTAGCAGGAGTAAGCAAGACACAAGAAGTAATTCTTCCGCTATACTCAGCGCTGATTAGGCCTCAACTGGAGTACTGTGTCCAGTTCTGGGTGCCACATTTCAGGAAGGATGTGGACAAATTGGAGAGAATCCAGAGAAGAGAGACAAAAATGAGTAAAGGTCTAGAAAACATGACATATGAGGGAAAATTGAAAAAATTGGGTTTGTTTAGTCTGGAAAAGAGAAGACAGAGAGGGGACATGATAACAGTTTTCAAGTACGTAAAAGATTATTACAAGGGGGAGGGAGAAAAATTGTATTTCTTAACCTCTGAGGATAGGACAAGAAGCAATGGGCTTAAACTGCAACAAGGGAGGTTTAGATTGGATATTAGGAAAAGCTTCCTAACTGTCAGGGTGGTTAAACACTGGAATAAATTGGCTAGGGAGATTCTGGAATCTCCATCATTGGGGATTTTTAAAAGCAGGTTAGACAAACACCTGTCAGGGATGGTCTAGATAATACTTAGTCCTGCCATGAGTGCAGGGGACTGGACTAGATGACCCCTTGAGGTCCTTTCCAGTGCTATGATTCTATGATATTTGGGTTGCCTCACTATATCTAGAAGGGTCTCTGGGTTGAGCAGTTAAGGGATGGGATAGCTTTACTAGGTCCTGAAAGAGGGTCCTCTCCAGAGCTTGGGTGGGACAATAATGCTTGTGATATGTCACTTTGAAGGTAAATTGAATTAAAGAGATTAGATGGTTTCAAATCAGAGTCTGACACATCCCCACACAGAATTGTCATGGTTACCAGTCATGTATGTATACTGTGAAGGGTTTGACTGACACATAATGTAACTATAGTAATATGCAGGTATTAAGGCTTTATATTGTCACATTGGAACAATTATAGCTATAAATACCTATGAGTCTCCCATTTTTGTTTTACCAATGATTCATGAATAGTCAGGGTTCCACTTTTTTTTTAATTCCAAAGTTGGACTCCTGTGTGTACAGAGCCCATCAATAAGAGCATAGTTATGATTCCTGTCCATCATAATTAAGTAAAAGCTACGTGTAGTAAATGGCTAGGGAGCACTAATATGTTTACCATATTGCTAGTAGAGCATGGGAATAAGTTTTTGTTTCTTACACATGGAAAGACCATTGCAGAGGTTACTTGCATTAGTGGATTAGTGATCCGATGGTTAAGGAGATTACAGAAATAAATAAGATAGCAAGAAAGTTGCATGCACCAAAGCCTAGGGATGGAGTAAATTAGTGTATATAGACTAAGATGAAACTCTGTACAGCAGCAACCAGGCTATGTGTAGTAAATCAAAATCTTCAGGAGCACAAGAAGTAGCAGATCATTTTTCTCACAAAAGTAAAGAAGATTGTGTTGTATTGTCAGACGGAATTGCTTTAGTACAAGGTCATGTTTGAATTCAAGCTTTGGTGTTATGTGGTAGTTTGACATACTGTAATAATCTGGATGCCTTATCTAATTTTGCAGTTATGATTAGATAGTTATTGCTACTGTGCTCCATCTATAGTAGAGTCGTCTTGGGAGAGTGAAGCCTATACCTCATCTTGGTAGCTGTTTAAGGTACATACTTTGCCTTTTGTAAGATGAACTAACATGAGGTTTCCGGGACCACTGATACAGTTGGGTGGCAAAGGACATTTGGTCTGCTGACTTTAAATTACTACTTTTATCTTATGACAAAGTTCTAAGTCAACTCTAAGAATAATCTGAAGATCTTAAAAACCTTGATCTAAAAGTCAAAACAAAATCCCGAAGTTCTGTGTTTCCCAGTTAAAATGGTTTCGTTATTAACTAGCGTGAAGATTATTTTTACTACTTCGCTTTTATAGGCCAAGAGAGTATGTCATAAAAACGGGGAGAGAGTGTTATACCATGTTACTCTAAGGGCTGGTCTACACTAGGGGGGGGATCGATCCAAGATACGCAACTTCAGCTACGCGAATAGCGTAGCTGAAGTTGAAGTATTTTGGATCGAATTACCTGGGGTCCAGACGGCGCGGGATTGACGGCCACGGCTCCCTCGTCGACTGCGCTACTGCTCTGGTGGAGTTCCGGAGTCGACGGTGAGCGCGTTTGGGGATCGATATATCGCGTCTTAACGAGATGCAATATATCGATCCCAGATAAATCGATTGCTACCCGCCGATACGGCGGGTAGTGAAGACGTACCCTAAGTCTGTGATCACTTTCTGTCTTTAAGTAGTTGTATGATGTTGCTGGGCGCTGCTTGAACAGTTGTCACATTTGACTCTAGAGTGAGTTGCAGTTCAGTGGTTGTCGAAGTGCTTTCTGAGGTAATATGTATGGTTTTGGAACTAATCCTGCATTACTGAGTGTGCTGGTTTCTTCAAGTAAAGAGCACTATGCTCAGCAGTAAGTGTTTAATGGACTGGGTCCTTTGTTTATAAGCACCTGGGGATGGAAAGCAATATTTAAATATCAGATCATAAGATCATTAATTTTTTAAATAGGTTGGGAAAAAGAACAGAGATCTTTCATAGTGGGTACCCCATTTTTTTACTATTTTCATTATTTAGCCTAAAACTGGCTGTGTGACATCTTGGTAAAAGGCAACGTTATTTTCT